GGGGGAGGGAAGGAGAGGAACAGAGGGCGGGAAGGGGGGAGGGAAGGGGGAGGGAAGGGGACGGAAAGGGGGGAAGGGGGGAAGGAGAAGAACAGAGGGAGGGAGGGGGGAGGGAAGGAGAGGAACAGAGGGTGGGAAGGCAGAGAAGGAGGGAGGGGGGGAAAGAACACGGGAGAGACCCGCTCTCTTTGCTGCCAAGGTTGAGGGTGGTTTGGGTGTGACGAGCGGTACCTTCAGCACGGCCGGGTCCATGCCTGGAAACACGGGCATCCTCTGGGGGGGGCCCGCGGGGGTCCTCTCAGCCCTGTGTGGCTTCTCCTCCTCCTCGTCGGACTCCTCCCTCCTGGGAGCTCTCTCTTCTGTTGCAAAGAAGAGAGCAGGTCACAGGAGGCCAGCAGGTGCCCCGCACACGGTCCCTCACGCGGTCCTCACACCGGCCGGGTCCGGAACGGATCACTGGCCCATTGTACAGATGAGGACAAATGGAGGTGCCCCAACACCGACAATACGGTATGACCATGTTCTCCTGGGAGGAGAAGGCACGACAGACCCACCTCCTGGCTCCCGGCTCCTTTCAAGTCAGGGTAAGAGAAGGGAGGCTTTGGCGGAGCAAAGGACACAAATGCTTTCAGCCAGTGGCGGCGGCTCTTTGAAGACGGGGCGGGGGGCTCCGTGTGTCTCATGGAAGGCCCGCCCAGAGCCGGACCAGGAAGCCGCTTCCCTTCGCCCCAGCCCCCCTCTTTCAGGAACTTAACTGCATCGCCATCGGCCTCATAGGAGACACTTTGGGGGTGTGGACTCCATGTCCCCACGCCTCCAGGAATGAGGAGCGAGGGCATTAGCCTCCCCGGCTCGGGCTTGAAAGCAGTGAGGAGTGCGGGGAGGGGTGGGGGAGGAAGCAGGCAAGGTCTGCTCCTCTGGACCCCCCCAGGCCATGCAGGGAGCTGGGGTGGGCTCAGAAGGCCTACCCCCAGGCCCTCCCCAGCCCCAGGCTGGCTCCTCAAGGCTGCTGGGAACCAGAAGGATGCTGCCATGTTCCAGCTGGGGGTACTGGTGCGCCTCGGTCCCCACATTGGCTTTTTTCAAATGTTTGCTTTGAGAGAGAGAGTGTGTGTACCCGAGTCGGGGAGGGGCAGAGAGAGAGAGGGAAAGACAGAATCCCAAGCTTCCTTCGCACTGTCAGCGCTGAGCCCCATGCAGGGCTTGGTCTCACGAACTGAACCTTGAGATCAGGATCTGGACTGAAATCAAGAGTCGGATGCTTGCTGGACTGAGTCGCCCAGGCACCCCGCCCACATCGGTTTTCACTGGCTCCAGGCCGCTGGGTGGGATTTGGCTCAGAAAACCCAGGAAAGTGCAGAGAGAAGTCTTATTCAAGTCATATTCCTTACTCATAAACATGATGTAGGAGAGGGAGGGAAGACCCTCCAAGCATTTCTTTAAGGCATCTGGTCAGAAGCTAGGCCCCTCACTCAGCTCCGAGCCTGGTCTAACACCCCACTACTGGCCATGGGTGAACCCCAAGGAGTCAAAGGCCCTGCAATGGCGTTTGGGGGCTTGTGTCTGTGTAGAGCGGGGAGGTCATCTGCCATGCTTTCCATTATAAGAAGAGGTTTTGCTTCTTAATACTCCTCCATGGCTCCCTGCCCCCCACAAAGCTGAACTCCTTAGCAAGGCTTGCGACTGTCCACGAGCTGGCCTGTGCCCACCCTTCTGGCACAATCCCTGCTACTCTTGGCCTGAGCAGCCCTGAACCACTTAGGCCCCTGCCACACACACAGATGTTCTTTCTACACGCTTGTCCCTTTGATCCCATTGATAGTTTTGTCTGGAATACCCTTCCCTGGCTAGTTCCTGTTGGCTCTTTAAGATTCAATGCACAGGATTCAGCCAAAGAAGTCCTTAGAGGAAAATGTGTAGCCTTAATAACTTATTAGAGGGACTCCTGGGTGGCAGAGTCAGTTAAGCGTCCGACTTCGGCTCAGGTCATGATCCCATGGTTTGTGGGTTCAAGCCCTGCGTCGGGCTCTGTGCTGATAGCTCAGAGCCTGGAGCCTGCTTCGGATTCTGTGTCTCTCTCTCTGCACTCCTACCCCGCTCATACTCTGTGTCTCTCTCTATCAAAATAATTAACATTAAAATAATAATAATAATTTATTAGAAACAAAAAAGTGGATGATAAATAGATCTAATCTGTCCACTCAAGAATCTGGACAAAGACCAGCAAGTCTTTAAAGACCTAGAAAAGTCTGAGTAAATTTAATAAGGGTAAAGGCAGAAACCGTAAAATCCTACTAAGTTGTGTCTCTGTCCTTTGCAACCCGTGGAGCCCCAATTAATATGTCATCCCAGGAAAAGCTGTTTTCACCTGTTTCTAACAAGGTCTGTAGAATGAGAGAGCACAGTTTCCTCTCTAACTATGTTCTCCAATCCTGCAGCCTACAAGGGCAGGAAGTGCTGCTTAGTGTCTAACCCAGATCCGTCCTGCTGTTCAATGTGGTCTCCAGGGAGAAGGGAGGATGGGGCATACCCGTTGAGTCCTTGAACATCCATGCGTTGTCAGCCTCTGCCTCCAAAGGAGACCGGCTCTCCGACTGGCTAACTCGGCTGCGCCGGAGCGAGTGGGAGCTGGGAGCCCGGCGGCGGCTTCTCTTGCTCAGCTGCACCCGGGTCTTGAGGGCACTTGAGTCGAGAACTGAGGTTTGCTTTGGGAGCGGCGGGGAGGGGGAAGGAGAAAAGCAAGGGAGCCATTAACTGAGGGCACCACTGGCAGGGGCTGTGCGTCGCCTCCTTGATACACAAGCCACTGTTTAGGGGGTACGTGGGGCACCTCAGCCCAGGAACCTAGATCCCTCCGTGAAACATACCATATCTAGATTCCTCTGTGAACCAAACTCTGAATGTGCCAGCATGGTGCCAGCCCCCTAGTGGACAGGAGCGAAAATGCCCTTTCCTTCCTCATGAGTCATGGGGCTAGAGCAGCGCTGGTATACAGCAGGACCCTGATAAATGTTCGTTTGCGCGTTGAATGAATAACCGAATACATCATCTCACTAAATCTTGGTAGGACCCGTATCCACGCAGAGCCCGTGCGCTGAGGCATTCTGTGTGTGGCCCCTGCTTTGCTCACAATAATTCAGGGTGCAGGTAGGGGCACGTAGGGGCGGGCAGGGGCGGGCAGGGCAATGCGCCTGACGCCAAACACTTGTTTGCAGGCATCACACTCTGAGCTGACGCGGGCAGAGGGTCAGTGATGCCTTCCAAGGTGATAACCTCCCACAGGGGAAGGGCGGGGGTTGCAGACCCTCCAGGTGGGCCCAGCAAGACGGATGGGCAGCCACTCATTCCGAGATGGCCTGGAGGGGTGGGGTGCTGGGGAAGCACTCAGAGCTCTGTGTTCAAATTCCACTTGGTTCAGATCTTGGCTGTGTGACCTTGAGTGGCGGACTTCACCTCTCTGAGCCTGAATGTTCCTCTTTATAAAAATGGAATATCCCAATAGGCTCTGCCTCCTTCAGCAACTGGGAGAACTCGGGGGGGCCCAGGTGTGGGAAGTCCTGGTTTCACACTGTCTGACAGGCTCACACCGGCCAGCACAGGTGCTTGCCTGAAAGGCTGGGTTCTCCCGCTCAGGGCTACTTTGAAGAAATGCCGTCACCCACAGCCTCTTTAGATGAGTGACGGCGGGCTAATTTCAGTGACTCGTCTCCCACAGCTGGGAAGCGGCGGCCACCACACTGGGGATGGAGGAGGGGATTAATGTCTGCCCTGCTGCTTCTCAAAGGGGTCACAATGGTGTCCAGCGGCGGGACCTGATGGGGCCGGGGGAAGGAGGGGAGGGACGGAAGGCACAGAGCCAGGTTTTCAGACTCAGAGACTGTGGCAGGGTGGGGAGGGGACTACCGTGAGGGGCAGATGTCTCTGTTTTCCCAGGGCTGCCCTCGCGGCCACAGGCTGGGGCAGGGACTGGACACCTTAGTGCCTCGCCTTCCCTTTCTACCTCCAAACAGCCCCCACGGGAGACCCGAGTGGTGCTGGGCAGGGCAGGGAGACCTCAGTGCGCCTTCAACAAGCTGCTGGACCTGTGCTCGGGGACACCTGCCCTTGAGCCACTCACTGGCTCCCCTAAAACCTGCAAAATGGGGCAGCAATTTTTGCCTCTTGGGGTTACTGACAGGCAAGCAGTCCAGGGACCGACACTCAGGGACCAGGGGCTGCTGGCGATGCTGTTATATGTATAATGGCCGCTGCTTAATGTTCTAGAAGGTAAGTCCAGAGGACTGGATGTCATACAAGCACGGAAGCTCCAGCAATGCTTGGTGCATAGCTTGAGCTCAGTAAATGTTTGTTGAATGAATAACTGAACCCATCACCTAACTGAATCCTTAGTCCATGTTTCTATAGGGGGTGGCCCAACAGAGACTTTGTGTCTCTCCCCATCTCTGTCCTTCCTTACCCAGAGGTGCCATTAAGAGACCCTGACCATATCTAGGAGGGGGCATTCCCTCTGAGGACCCGGAGGAAGACCTTTCTCCCAAAGCAGCGGGGATCCTTCTCTGGGGAGAATCGGGGTAGCCATCCCTAAGAGTGTGGGCGAAGACAGCGGCTTGCTTTTAGATTTTGCATCATTTAGATGATGCATCCACAGGAGGGTGGGCGGGGGTAGCCCTAATGTCAGAGAAAGAGAACAGTAAGGCTTCAAAGATGGGAAAGGCTCCTGTGGGTGCAGAGGACAGACGCTGGCGGGGAAGGGGCTGAGGTAGGATGCCGCTGGGCCTGGGCGGCTGGCATCTGGGAAGCTGGCTCCGCTCGGAACCGAGAAGAGCTGAGTCCTAGGGGCTGCCCCTGGGGACCCACACGAGGCTGTCCATGCCCGAGGGGGCTCCCCTTCCGGGAACCACTCCTACATGTTTAGAGAGACAGGGATCCCTGGGACCAGAGACACATCCCACCAAGCAAGGCCTTGGTGCGGATGCCCCGCAGACTGGGTCCGAACAAACTCCAGGCGCGGCATGCCGGGAATGGCAAACCCCAGGCAGACCCCCTCGGACGTCCTGCTGACCTAACAGGTCTGGGCTGCGATCAGCTGTAAGGTGAACACACGTGATCGCATCTGAGGTCACGGAGTCCATCGTGCTGGTTTATCAGCGCATGAGGAAGCCGAGGCTCGGAGAGGTGAAGACGTTTGCGGGCCAATGGCAGGTCCCAGCTACCTTGTGGACATCAGTCCCATCTCAGACCGTGCCCTCTGCACCTGCCCCAGGGGTCCCTGGCACACGGATCCTACCCTCCGGGAGGGGCTACTGGCTCAGAGATGCCAGAGCAGCCCTTTAGGGAGGAATGACTTCCCAATGCGTGCTCCCAGTTACTGACTCACATCTATGAAGGAGAAGTCGTCCACACTCCTTGCAGGGCAGGCGTCCGGCGCGGGCAGCCCCTCCGTCCCATCGGTGGATTCCAAGTCGGTGCTGGACTGGTCCACGCTGGTGCTGCGCTGCTCCCTGGAGCCGCTGTGCTGGTCCCCTGCCGAGGTGGCCTCCGTTTGGGAGGACAGAGAAGACAGGCGGCTGCCCGGCAGCTGTTTCCGCGCTGACACGGCACTGCTGTCCGGGGATGGGGACTCAGGGGCCAGACTACGAGAAAGGAGGGAAGGGAGACATCACTGTGCCGGTGGCTTCGGGACTAAAGTGCAAGTAAAAGTGGCGGAGAGTAGGGGCGCCTGGGTGGCTTAGTCGGTTAAGCGTCCGACTTTCGCTTAGGTCATGATCTCGCGGTTTGTGGGTTCGAGCCCCGCGTCGGGCTCTGTGCTGACTGCCAGCTCAGAGCCTGGAGCCTGTTTCAGTCTGTCACTCCCTCTCTCTCTGACCCTCCCCTGCTCATGCTGTCTCTCTCTCTCCTAGAAATAAATAAAACATTAAAAAAAAAAAATTAAAAAAAAAAAAAGTGGCGGAGAGCAGGTTCAGGGTGTGGTTTACATGCCAGGAGACAAGACCCCGAACCCCCGGTGGGATAACCTTTCGCGGCACCACCAGGCGCTGTCCGTGGTACAGCCGGAGCACCTGCACAGGTGTGGACAGGAAGGGGGCAGTACTGTCCCACTCGAGACCCTCCCACCCTGTACGGGGCAGAAGTGCGGGAGCCACTGGTCACATGTGGCTGCCGGGCCGTCGCCATGTGGCACGTGCGAGCCCAGAGTACAAAGTACACACTGGATTCCCAACGCTTTGGATAAAAAGAGAGAGAGAGAGAGAGAGAATGTAAAATAGTGATTACACATTGAAATGATAACGTTTCAGATTCAGAGTCAATAAACTATTGTTAGTTCAGTTGTTACCATTAATTTCCACCTGGTTTCATTTTTACTCTTTTGCCGGGGCCACTGGAGTATCTTAGATCACACACGCCTCACATTTGCAGCTCGAGCTATATTTCTTTCTTTCTTCTTCTTTTTTTTTAATAGTTTACTGTCAAGTTGGTTTCCATATAACACCCAGTGTCGAGCTGTATTTCTGTCAGACAAGCGCTGATATCGATAAAAATCACCAGCAGTCGCTCATGGAAGAGCAGGAGGCAGGGGACTCTTCCGCATGGTCCCATTTACTCGTTCACACATGCGATAAAGATTTACTGAGCACTTACTATGTGCCAGGCACTATGCTACAAACTGAGTCCCTGAATCCTCTCCCTAATCCCGTGAGGGTCGCCCTGTCATCTTGCAGCCACCACCATGTTATCAGGCGGGATTAGCCTCAGGAAATTAAATATTAACCCCACTAAAGGTGAGGAAACCAAGGCACAGAGGTGTGAAGTGGCTTGCCCAAAGGGCTGGAGCCAACTCCAGAATCCATGCCCTTGACCCTTCTACTTCTAGAAGTTCTGCCCATGGTAGTGTATTTAAGTATGGCTTGGATGACTGGGACCACATGAGACAGAAATTTATAAATCAATAAGGCCAAAAAAATTAAGCCAGTAAGTTAAAAAGGCTCCTCCCTCCCACTAAAGACACCAAAGCCAAGAGCATGGGAGAGCTTCTCCTGAGGAAGGGCAGGCAGGCACCCAGGCACCACCTCGCTGATAGAAGGGGTCTGCCCTGGAAGCTCCCGGAGCTACACCCCTGCACAGAACGTCTGACCCAGGTGTACTGGCGGCTCACCCCTGGCGCACAGCCATGCTGGGTCAGCCCTGGGATGAATAATGGGCAGGATTTTGGGGTGTGGGGTGGGACTGAGGTGAGTCCTGGAACCACGGGGGAAATACCACCAAGGAGGCAGCAGATGGCGCTGTTGCCCAGGGCTGGGCGGCCAGGGAAGGGGCGCTGCAATGCTTCTGGGGAGCAGATGGGGGCGCCCACGCACAGGAGAGGACAGGCCTCCCAGGGTCACACAGTGAGCGAGACGGAACCCAGATGCAGGCTTCTGGACTCACAGTCCTGAGGGTTCTTGCAGGAGACTTAAGTGAAGTCCAGTGACAGGTAAGTAGGCTCATTAACAAAACACCTTTCACGGGTTAGGGGCAAAAAGGCTTTCGTGGGAACTATAAGAAACCTTCGCTTCCCTTTTTTGTCTTTGTACCCATTTTCTTTTCTTGTTTTTAATGTTTATTTACTTATTTTGTGAGAGAGAGAGCATGGGGAAAGGTCAGAGAGAGAGGGAGAGAGCGAGAACCCCAAGCAGGTCTGAGCTGTCAGCACAGAGCCCGATGTGGGGCTTGACCTCACAAACCATGAGATCCTGACCTGAGCTGAAGTCACCCAGTCAATTGGTCACCCAATTGAGCCACCCAGGCACCCCCTCCCCCCACATACCCATTTTTCATTCCATCCACGTCCACCCAACTTTAACATCGAGGGCTGGGGGACACTGCCCAGTGGAGGGTCCCAGCAAAGAGGGCAGGGGAAGCAGGTGGAGAGCTGGGGATCAGTCCCCTCGCCCCTGGGCAGACCCCCAAAGGTGAGGGAACCGAGGCACTCAGTGACACAGCTGGCGGGGGCCACGCCGCCAACCCAGGTCTCTCTGACTTCAATAGACCATGTTAGGGGCGCCTGGGTGGCTCAGTCGACTAGGCGTCCAACTTCAGCTCAGGTCATGATCTCACAGTTCGTGGGTTCGAGCCCCGTATGGGGCTCTGTGCTCACACTTCAGAGCCTGAAGCCTGTTTCAGATTCTGTGTCTCCCTCTCTCTTCCTCCTTCCCTGCTCACACACGCTCTCTCTCTCTCTCTCTCTCTCCTTCAAAAATAAACAAACATTAAAAAAACAAAGCATGTGACTCTGCTGTGGTCACATGACCACGTGATCCTGTGGCCCCTGGCGAGGGAGAGCTGAGAACACGGCCGTGTCCAGCCCAGGCGTCCACAAAGCCACGACTGTGCTCGATCCCGCCCGAGAGAGAGAATACTGTATTTTTAGAACAACAAACAGGTGCCGTGAAGAGGTCCTACTGTCTGTGCCGGGGAATCTGCACAGCAGTTGGCAGCCACCCCATGTGGTGGGCTGCCTCGGCCTTCACCTCCGCAAGATGGGGTGGCACGATTAGATGTTAACACATTTACATGCTTACAACAGTGCTTGCCACGTCTGCTCAATAAACCCCGGCTGTTTTTAGAAGCATCATTCCCTCCTATGGAAGAGGGACGCAAAGCCTGGAAATCGTAACTCATTGACCCAGAGTCCCGCAGCCGGCTAGGGCAGGGCTGGAACTCAGAGCTGCCTGCGACTTGGGTCCACGCTCTTCGTGATAATATGAAGGCTTCTGCCACAGCCGTAACCAGGCAGACCTCTGACGGCCCCCCAAGCCTTTAACAGGGGCGATATGCTCTCGCTCAAAAAACAAATATGCTAAAAAATTTAAAAAAAAAAAAACAAAAAACGGGGGCGCCTGGGTGGCTCAGTCAGTTAAGCGTCCAACTCTTGATTTCAGCTCAGGTCATGATCTCATGGTTCACGGGTTGGAGCCCTGCCCCAGGCTCTGCACTGACAGTGTTTTGCCTGCTTGGGATTCTCTCTCTTCTCTTTCTCTGCCCCTCCCCCCTGCTCACTCTTTCTCTCTCTCTCAAAAAGTAAACTAAAAAAAAAGTTTAACTGGGGCAATATTAAAGGCAGACACAGCTTAAAAAGCAACATGTATAGTACGTTCCTCTGTAAACACATACAGATAGAGTGGAAAGTCTAGACAGACATCTAACAAAAAGCACGAATGCCCTCATTCATGATCTGTGCGCTGGGGTTACATATGGTTTTCACTTTCTTTGTACTTTCTTTCACTGTGCTGTAACACACATAACATTTTCCATCAGTGGCATTTCGCACATTGTGCCACCATTGCCATGATGTAATTCTAGGGCATCTTCATTCCCCCAAAAGGAAGCCTGGTACTTGTGAAACATCCCTACCTACGTACCCCAGCCCCTGGCAACTAACCTCCTTTCCGTCTCTATGGATCTGCCTAATCTGGACATTTCATATATTATTTTAAAATAATTCAGGGGCGCCTGGGTGGCTTAGTCGGTTAAGCGTCCGACTTTCGCTCGGGTCATGATCTCGCGGTTCGTGGGTTCGAGTCCCGCGTCGGGCTCTGCGCTGACTGCCAGCTCAGAGCCTGGAGCCTGTTTCAGTCTGTGACTCCCTCTCTCTCTGACCCTCCCCTGCTCACGCTGTCTCTCTCTCTCCTAGAAATAAATAAAAATATTAATAAATAAATAAATTAAATGATTCGTACTTTTCTACATTTTCTGTTTTACAGTAAGAATGGATTACTCTTGTGTTCAAGGACAAAGCAGGTTCTAGAAATATAGAAACGAGGGTGCAGGGGGACCACACCGCCCTCCATACAGACACCCGGGGACGCCTTACCTCTCCCCACTCTGGCGCTGGTCCGTCCACGTCCCATACTGGCTGTCGGCTTCCTGCACGAGGGTGTCGGTGTCCCTCGCCTCGGGGGGCCGCCTGGAGAAACATTGCTTCAGCTGGTCCTGCAGGGACGAGCGGAGAGGAGGTTCCTATCAGGGGAAAACGCTCAGAACCTGGTCCGCAGCTGCCACAGATCACGGGCATCGCCCCCGGCTCAAACCGCCCCCGCTCTCTACTGTGCTCAGCGGCGGGTCCAAAGGTCTGGGGGAGGGGCACAGGTATTAGGGCTACCAGCTGTCCCCATGTGCCCAAGGTGTCACAGGATGCAGGGCTGTCAGTGCTAAAGGCAAGCAAACCGGGATGGAGGTGTCACCCTCCCCAGCAGGCAGGGCACCAGGCTGCCCGTCCTCAGTGCCCCTCTCTCTCCCTGCTCTCCCTGGCACTGCAGGCGGGACGATCTTCTCTCCATCTTCAGTCTCCCAGGACTTGTCCACCTGGTGGGGACACTCCCTCACCTGTCCCCCGCCCACAGGTTCCCACTGCCACCGGCTTCCCATTGGCAGTCTTTATTACGATCCCCATTTTGCAGATGAGAACACGGAGGCTCACACAGGTGAAGTGACAGGCCCCAAATCCAACAGCCCGTGCACGGTGGAGTGGAACTCAAACCCTGGCAGGAGGCTGGGACCCGATGTCCAAACTGATAACCACTGCGCCCAGGCAGTCTGGATCCCTGGATCCTTCTGTCGTCACTACCTACTCAGTGCCTCGGCCGGGGCACTTGGAAGGAGTGCTGGCACACGGTGGGCAGCTCCCAGACCTCCACTAAGTGATTGAACTGCTGGGTTCCCCCACCTTGTTCACTTTAGCAAGTTAAAAGCCCCTTCCTTGCTCAACAACCTTCAATGGCTCCCTATTGTCCTCCAGCTGAAATCCAACACCTCTTGTAATTGAGGGAGCCCAGCCCAGTGCCATCTCCCACCCCGCACCAAACAAACCCTTCCTCCCACCCTCCCTGACCTCTTCTCTGAGTCCCGCGCAAGCCTCCCACATCCCAGCCTCTGTGGTTTTCCTTGCACCCCCTCCGTCTTCCTGTCCATCCTCCTCAGCCAAAGCCATCACAACCCACAGTGATCTCTCTCCTCCTGCTGAATCCTTCCTGCCTAGGCTGGGTTCACCATGGTACCAGGTAAAGTTTGACATAGACGGTATTTACTCAAGAGATATTTGCTGAACACCTACTATGTGCCAAGCATCAGGGAATGGGGGGTGGGGGGCCACAGCACAGCAGACACAGCCCCCGAGATGCTGTGACTCAGCTGATGCACTCTTCAAGGTCAAGATGCCCTATCATCTTTGTTTACACTCTGCGCTTTTGTGGACCATCCTTGGCAGAACAAGCTCGTAGGGTCCAGGAGAATGAACACCTGCCCGGGGACACGCTTATTAGCAGTGTGACCTCAGGGTTTTCACCAGGGGCACAGAGAAGTTATGAGCATCCAGTGAGGACACGGTGGCCATCTAAGGGCACGGATGCCAAGGACAGGACCCACATGACGGCTCCTAGTTCACGGCCTGACGCTCAAGACATGCACGATCCATGCCCACCTCCTTCCCCATTCCCTTCCTCTCCCGACTCGTGTAGCCCATGATGCTCAAGGGGATGCTGTGGGAGGGGGTGATGCACGAACAGGAATTCAGCAGAACACCCTAGGTCACCTCACAGACGGCCACACTCAAAGACCCTAACAGCTGAGGCCCAAACAGCCCCGAGGCCACTGCCCGCACAACGCTTTCCTTTTATGAGCTAACAAAATAATACATGCTCTCTGTAAAACACTTAGAACTGATAAAGAAGCACAAAGAATAACACCCATCACCCACTGACAATATTCTGGCAGAGTCCTATCCAGAATTTCCCCTGGGCCAATTCTACACCTTTTTTTTTTTTTAAGTTTATTTATTTCTTTTGAGGGAGAATGTGGGGGGGGGAGGGGCAGAAAGATAGGAAGAGAGAGAGAGAATCCCAAGCAGGCTCTGCACTGTCAGCGCAGAGCCCGACAGGGGGCTCGATCCCACGAACTGCAAGATCGTGATCGGAGGCAAGTTCAAGTAACCACTGGAGCCACCCAGGCGGCCCGTCCACATCCGCATCTTTAATGGCTGAAGACTCCACGGAACAGACTAAGCACCTTTAGTTCATTCACCAATCCCCAAGATTTGGGCATTCAGGTTGCTGAATGTTTTTCCCTGTTATAATCAACAACATGACGAACGTCCTCGAGGCTAAAGTGACACATCGGAAGAAATTCCTAAGTAGAGAATCACCAGGTCAAGGGTGGCATATTTTTAAGGTTTTGACTTGTGATGAGCCAGCCAGTCATGGGGCCATCTGCCCGATCTCTAGGCTCACGGGCAGCATGTGCGGGGGGTGGCTGTGAGCCTGCTTGAGGGATGAAGTCAGTCCCCACTCGGGGAAACGGGGCATTTTTGCCTTGAGAGATCACCTGACGTTCTCGGATGCCCTGCACCCTCAACAGAACTCTCCCTGGGGCCCTGGAATGGCCGTCGCCATCTGAGCACATGCCCAGCTTCTCACTGGTTTTCAAAGATGTCACAGAATCAGGCATTTGCTAACTTAATCCCCTACATAGGCCAGACTCAGAAGCCAGAGGTGGGGGCCCTAGGGGTTGCTGTGGTGGACTTGACATCACTGTCCTGAGCACTTTGCAGACAGCCACGAGCCGGATACGGGGCGTGTGCTAAGCTCAGTGGGAGGCAGGGGGTGACAGCTCTGTGTCACAGCTCCGGCAGAAGAGGAGGGCCTCCCATCTCTGCTCTGCCCCAGATGTGAGGTCCGGCCAAGTGACACCGCCCACTCAAGCCTCGGTTTCCTCATTAGAAAAACGAGGGTTGTTTTGAGGCCTCAAGGAGGTGATCTCTGGAAATCATTAAGCTCAGGAGACAGGAGCTATAGGTGCTCAGAACCATTTTCGTGCCCCCCCCCCACCCACACGAAGGACGGGGATCTTTCTTTGCTTGGGGAGGGAGGTAGGGGGGTACAGGTGGGGCCTTTGGAAGTCAGAATGGCCAGGTGGGTAGGATGCCGAGGGTGCAATCAGGGCAGAAGACGGGGGCAGCGACGACCCGTAGGTTTCCACCCATCCCTGTCTGTGGGCCCTCCTGAGGGATTTAGGATTTAGACTCAGGTGTGGGATCCCCACAAGCAGGAAGGCACATCTCCCTAATGCCAGGCCCAAGACTCCCAAAGGCAGCACCCCTGACTCCTCTCTCTCACTCCTGCCATCACATCAACATCCGGTCCTTCAAAGTCTCCTTCCAGAACATTCTGTCCAGCCTTGGCCAGCTCCAGGGTCTCCCCACCTTCCTCACCTCTGGCTCCTCCCATTACACTTAACAAAACCAAACTCTGGGCTTTCAAGGTCCTTGCCAAAGCCCGTTAATAGCCCACATCCCGTCCCTCAGGGTAAAGTCCAAATACTTTTTTTTTTAATTTTTTTAATGTTTTATTTATTTCTAGGAGAGAGAGAGAGAGACAGCGTGAGCAGGGGAGGGTCAGAGAGAGAGGGAGTCACAGACTGAAACAGGCTCCAGGCTCTGAGCTGGCAGTCAGCACAGAGCCTGACGCGGGGCTCGAACCCACGAAGCGCGAGATCATGACCCAAGCGAAAGTCGGACGCTTAACCGACTAAGCCACCCAGGCGCCCCAAAGTCCAAATACTTTAAAAGTGGCTTATGGGATCATCATTAGTTGGGCTCCTTCCCCATCATCTCCTGCTGGGCCCTCCCACTGGCTGCTCTACACCCTCATGTGCCCCAGGCAACTCTCTCTCACCTCCAGCTATCCTTCAGATTTCAATGTTGAGGGCTCTTCCTCCAGGAAGCCTTCCCTGAACTCACCCCCACCAAGCCTGTCTCAGGAGCCCCGTGGCTCTCACCATGCCCTAGATCTCAGGTCTCTATTATCTGTGCTGTTCATTAAGGTAGCCACCAGCCACGTGTGGCTAGTTAAATTTAACTTGAAGTTACTAAAATTTAAAAATACAAAGAATTCCATTCTTCAGTGGCACTAGCCACATTTCACAGGCTCCATGGCCACAAGTAGCTACCATATTGAACAGCACGGATACAGAACATTTCCATCCCTGCAGAAAGTTCTAGTGGACGGCATTGCTGTAGAACTTCCCACAATGTAATCATTATAATTGACCTGTTTCTTTTCCACCTTCCTTGGACATGTCCTGCTTCTGGAGCTAGAATGTCTGGATTCATTATGCAGCGGTTGTGTGACCTTGGGCAAGTTACTTAACCTCTCTGTGCCTTGCTGTCCGGACCAAAAAGCAGATGTTACATATGTGCCTGAATGCCGTCACGTCACTACTCTTTAACACAGACCCGCAAGTTTGGAGTAATTCAGGGGGTGGGATTATCTAGGGGAGTTCATCTTGTAAATGAGGCTTAAGAAAGCAAGCCATTTATCAGCGCTTTCTCCAGTGAGTATCCTGGTAACCTTGCGTGCGCTGCAAATCATTCATGTCTCCTCCCTCTGGCAGACCCTGGCAGCATTTCGAATCAAGTGAGGCTTGAGCTTTGCTCCCAGGGTTACGAGGCCTTGAGATCAACCACTGAAAGGCCTCCAAACTCTAATAAAAACTTTCCAGAAGTCAGTTTTAATTCGCTTTAAGGCAAGAATGGATATTCTTTCAATTCAGTCTTGCTTCACAGGCTGTTGCCAAAACCCTCACTGTCCACAGGCAAGTTGGTGCCGACAAGGTAGTCTGAAAATACACGTGACAAACTAACGACACACACGCGTCCCAGTGAGCCCCCCCATCTGGGACTTGGGCGGGTCTTTCCCGACGTGCGTCCCTGATGGATGGCCACCCAACGCCCACACCTGTATTTCACTTGTCATCTGTCACGTGAGGATTATCAAATCTTATCATTTACAGTGAGAAGGACTCTTGAGTTGATTCAGTTGACCTTTTTCAGATGAGAAACTGAGGCACAGAGACAGGAATTGATGACTGGCTCTTAGTTTTCACAAGTCAGAGGCAGCGCGGGCGCCTCTGGGATGGAGCGTTCCTACTCTGTGCTCCTT